TTGGAGCCCACGCCCAACGTGCGTAAGCGCGCAAAGGCAGTGCGTTGTTGTGAGGTCTGCCATGCCTCGTGAACTTCGGCAGCAATGCCTTGTAGGTGAAAGGCGGCATCCAGGTCGACGGAGCAACGTACTGCCTGTGTGAATTGAGCAAGGACGATGGCCCTGATGGCGCTTGCGCGTGCGCGTAACTGGATGGCAGCCGCGTGTGCGGTACCTATGGTAGGCGCAGAGCAAGCATGAGGGAAACGGGTTTTAGCAACGCGAGTACGCGAGGATGCTAAAAACTGATGCAAGCAAGCCATGCGAATTCTGGGCTTCCATTTAATGGAGGCATTAGGGTCAGCCATGCTGGCGCGCATGCTGCGGAGAGCAGCGCCGAGCTCCGCAAGTTTGGCAAAAGCATTATTAATTGCGGGCATCAGCGAGAGCTCTTCGTGATGTCGCAATGCCGCTTTAGGACGTGTAAATGCTTGCCTGGATCGCACATATCGCTTCCATGCCGCGATAGCTGCCAGCAGGAAAAGGTTGCGTGCTTCCTGTTGAAGCGCGTCGGCTTGGCTGATAGTTAAAGCTCTGGCATCCATGAGCCTAAGGGTGGCCATGGAGACGCGGGAATTGGAAGGTGCGCGACCTGTAGACGTGCGGGGTTGGGGAAATGCCTGTAGCATGGCTTTGCGCGCCTCCCTGTCCAGTATGAGCGCGTGGTCTGAGGCGTGCAGGTCGAAAGTTAAAGCTTCAGGGGGAGGCGAGAAAGTGTCTTCAAAAAGCTGTCTGGCCGACGGGTCGAGGTATGCATTGGGGTCGTGCGGAATACGCATGACCTGGCGTCCCTGGTCCTCGTTAGGTCGGAGCTGCAGCTTGAATCGGCATAATAAGCATGGGACAGCGTGGTCAAGCACTGCGAGTGCTAAAGTAAGAGAATACTTGACTTCGCATTCATTGGCAGAGGCGCCTATGGGTATAGCTATGTAGTCCCTGCGCTTCCAGTGCTGTTTGAAAGCGGGGTAACATGCTGGCGCGATCCACGTGCCCGCTCCCATAGGGTGTGGCACAAAGGTGGCCGGCAGCCAAAGCTTAGATGCAAGTAAGAATCGATGGAAAAAGGAGCCAGCCGTGTTGACTTGCTCCGCGTGTTGTGGGCCAATGGCCGCTGATGTTTGCGTGCCCACTGCAGCATTGGAGTCCATAAGGACAAGAGTAGGAGTGGGCTGCGGTAAAATGTGGTCGTTGACATGTCTAAAGTGCTGCCACCACACGACCTGCTCGTGGAGAGGACGCCCTGAATGATGAGCATGTGCCACGAGGATGCTGAAACGTAGGCCGTTCTGACTGATGACGGCCGCGATAATGCGCGGGTCTTGGTGTACAATACGCACGCTGTGAGACTTAATAGGGAAAGTGGGAATGCCTTTGGCATTGGGAAAAACGGGCGTGGTAAGGTTGACCCATAGCGCGCAGCCGCAAGCATGAGTTCCAGCTTGAGACTTTGGCAAAAAGACTACGTACGGGGGAACCTGGCGTTTGCCAGAGCCCGTGTCTGTGACTCGCGTCTCTTGCATACCGATAATGTCGAGCCCATTGCGTTGAAAAGCGGCGGCCAGTTGGTGGAGGCGTCCTTTGACGGCCACGCCTGTAAGCCTGGCTCTTTGGGAGATGCGCGAGGCAGGCGTGAGAGAGAGAATGTTGGCTGAGGCTAGCCTGAGACAGCATGATGCCGTGGCGTCTGCGATCGGGGCTGCCTCTTTGAAGAGACCTGGAAAAACATCAGCAAGCGAGGTGCGCGGGGGGAGAGGAGGATTGAGACTAACTTGATGGTTCGGCGGGTAGAGCGCACGCTGTTGCTGAGGAAGGCACTCAAGCCATAGCCATTCCAAAATGTGCGCATTGTCTTGGAGAAAGCTCATGAGGGGCGGGAGCACTGGCGGAGGTAGCAGTGCGAGGGAGTATAGTCTGGCGACCGTGTCAACCATTTCGTTGAGCGGGTCAGCTTGGTGACCGTGCACGTGCTGCCATGTAAAGCGGCGTTTCAGGCCAAGTACCTTGCACAGACTGTCGAGGCGGCTTCTATGCTCCATTAGTGGCTCAGCCACTGTACCGCCTTTGGCGGTGGCGACAACGTCCATGTTGTCTGAGTGAAAGGTGATAGGAACGGCGGGAGGGAAGGGGGACTGTAGAGCCCATAACGCCGCCCAGGTGGCGGCATCGAATTCCGCTTTAGCGGAGACTCTAGCTGCTCCCATTGTCTCCGGGGTGGGACACCCCAGGATGCCTAGAAAGTGTCGAGTGCCGTTAAGCCATGCAAAGACCAGAAAAGCCCACGCTGGCGGGCCAGCGAGATCTCCTTTGGAGGCCCCTCCGCTGGCGTCAGTATATATATCCGCGGAGTCAAAAGCCGCGTAGGGAGTATCGAAGACAAAGCTGTGCCAGGTGGGGATGGAGGAGGAGTGGAGAGCTGGAAAAATGACATCGAAGTCCCTGACCAACTGTATGGAGGTAGCCGTAAGCACCGGTAGCATCCACCTCATGGGCGGAAGCGGGCTGCGGCGCATACCTTGCCGCCCCCCCAGGTTCACCCGTGGGCAGTGTCCGGGGGAGCGACCTGAAAAACCGTGCCGTCGCGCGCTGCCTGGGCTAAATCGCCCTGAGCAGCTTGTGCCGCGTGGGCCTCGGCTTCAGCGCGAAGGTCCGCAGCCTCTGCTTCTGCCATTGCATCTGCAGGGCTGCGTGGGGTAGACGGGGCGGAGGCCCCTGCACGTGCCTTTGGCTCAGCCTCGGCTGTCTCGGGCCTGGGGCGACGTGAGCCACGAGGGCTCTTGCTGCGTGCTGCATGCCTAGCTACGAAATCTTCCTCGCTGATGCCTGAAAGCGCGCGCTGCTCGGCCTGGCCCGCGCGTGCGGATCTGCCCCTGGCCTGCGCGCTTGCGCTGCGGCGGGAGGATGCCATGGAGACTGGCTCGCCTTTTTCATCGGATAGGTCCCACCCAAGCTGGCTGGCAGAGCGGGTAGGCGGGGGCATGCCGTTGGGATCCTCTACGGAAGCTGCTGCCGGGCTTTGCTGGTTGATAACTTCCTCCCTAACCGAGCTATCTTGAAACGAGGGCGCAGTGGTGATCGCCTCCCCTGTCGGCGACTTGGGCACTGGCGCCGGCCCGGGTTTGGGCACGAAACCTAGGCGGAAAAGCGGGCCTGCTTTGGGGGAAGCGCGGGCCTGTTCACATCCTAACGGCGCTGTGGTCCCCCCTCGGACCGTAGCGCCGTGGCTAGAGGCGGCGGCTGGCACTAGTTGCCGGGCCTTGATCTGTGAGACTAGGGTGTCTACTGAGTTGCGCATGGCTTGGGCCTGGGAGTCAAAATTTGCCTTGATGGTGGCAACCTCCCTGGCCATGGCCTCGGCGTTGCTTTGCATGGCCGCGGAGAGTGATGTGATGCAAGGCTGTTCCAACCCTTGGATGCCTGGGAGGGGCGCAGGGCAGTGGAGGAGTGGGGGAGAGGCCGGCGCTGCCGTGAGGGGTGTGGCCGTTCCCAGGTCATGTGGGTCGGCTTGCTCCTCGCCTGTGTGCGTTGCAGAGAGTGCCGCAGTGCGCTGTACTGCACCTGGCTCCTCCGCCGCGTCCCCCATCATGAGCGAGTCAGTGATGGCGGCGGCTGGCGGTGCTTGCGACTTGAAATAAGCTAGTAACATGGAAGCCTGGCTGAGGTCCGCTTGTGCGGTCTGAAGGGCCAGGGCGATGTTGCGCACGTGCTCCTCCGCCTGCGCTTGTTTGGCTGCCAATTGCTCACAATCGGCCTGCAGGGAGGCCACCTCGTGCTCTTGCTCACTATTCTTGGCCAGCGGATCCCTCGCATTGGCCAATTGAAAATTAACTAGTGAAATCTCCTTTCGGATCTCGGTGATACGCATATCGGAGTGTCCTAGGAGAGTTGAGGCCCTGAGCTGCAGGATTAGCGCCTCCTTGCTCATTGCAAGGGCCTTGCGGTGCTCCAGCAGGCGGTCGGGCTCAAGCGGGGGGCAAAGCCAGGCTGAGTGAGAGTGCGCCTCGTCTGGGGTGAGGGTAGGGCACTGCGCTGTGAGCTCCGCCTCCGAGAGTTCAGTGGCGGGATCCAGCGCTCCGAGCGAGGCGGAGGCCGCGAGGAAAGGAGACTGCTGTACAGAGGTTGGGCCGAAGAGTGTAGGGGGAGTGGCCGCACCGTCTTGAGGAGGCGCAAAAGGGGAAGGCTGTGTCTGGGGAGACTGTCCTATGATACCTGTGTCCCTAGCCCCGTGTGGGGTGCCAGGAGCCTTCAATGGAGGCTGCTCCCCGTCTCTGCGCTGGTATTCGCGAGCTCTACGAGCATCGTCCTTCTCGCGCTTCTTGCGCTCCTTGCTGGAGATCCCAGCCTCTTGGACCGCATGATCTCCTGGGGGTGCGGGGAGCAGGCCGTATTCCGCTGCCCATGCAGCCACCTGATCGAAAGACGGCGCACCTGTCGGTGCGTGGCCCTTGCCCAGGTGCACCCCCCCCGTGCTACCGGAAAAGGAGCGAGGGCCCTTGTGTCCCGGCCCCGCGCCCCCATCATGCAGGGGCCTGTGCTGCCCCTGACCTTTGGCTGGGCCTGTGCTGCCCCTGACCGCGGAGGGGGGTGGGGGGAGGGGGGAGGGCTTCTTGGAAGCACCCCTGCTTCTCAGAAGGCGCGGGCCTTGTCTATAGGTGCAAGGCCGGCGCCTTCTAAGAAGCACCCCTGCTTCGAAGAAGCCCCCCCCCCTCCCCCCACCCCCTTGTGCGCGCCGCCAAGTCCTGGGGCTGCGCCTGGGCATTCCCCATCCAAACACGGCAGTCTCGCGTTGTGTCGAGGGTCGAGGATCGAGGATCGAGGGTCGAGGATCGAGGATCGAGGATCGAGGATCGAGGGTCGAGGATCGAGGATCGAGGATCGAGGCCTCGTGCGCGCCGCCAAGCCGCGGCGGACCCGGGCCGCCAAGCCCACGGTCTGCCTGCCGCCCCCCCCGCGGCGCCGCGCAGGCGGCGGCGCTGACGCTGGACCGCTCGGAGGTCTGGGCGCGGAGGGCGGAGGGGCGCCTGAGGCCGCGCTCCGCGCCTCGAGCCGCCCCCCCCCAGCAGGGAGGAGGAGGAGGAGGAGGAGGAGGAGGAGGAGGAGGAGGAGGAGGAGGAGGATCGAGGTGGAGGAGGAGGAGGAGGAGGAGCAAGCAAGCAAGACCTGGGCAGCAAGTGTCACACGCTGTCGAGACTCGCATCTGTGTGCGAGTGCGCCGTAGCTTTGACGAGTGCTGCTGGTGAGATCAACGCACAACTCGGGCAAGCCTGTGGGACCATTTAGTCCAATTCGGACCCGTGAGGCCCACGTCGGCCCGAGGGCGAACCACACGTGATTCCCATTAGTCACTTGGAAGAGGCGTAGAGCACTTGGGCCCATAACCTCCCTTGGTGGCTGGAGTGTGGGGGGAGGACCCGAAAATGATTCGAGGCTCCAGGACAAAAATAAAAATTGACACTCACGACACCGCGGCAATGCTCACTCCCGTGATGCAGTAGAGGTCATTCTGCCCACGCGCACGGGTGCCTGCCATTCGGCAGCCGCATCGGGCCGTACGCCGGTGCACGGATGCCTGGACGGGGCCAGTCGCATCGGGCCGTGCGCCGTCGAGGCAAATCATCTCGTCTCCGTAGTTCGAGGTGTGGTAGTGCATAAGTTCCGCGACCTTCGTGCGGTCGGTGACGTCCTCGTGCACGCCCAGCTTGAAGCGCTTGCCGAACTGCTCGTACAACTTCTTGTAGTCTTCCTTCTTCTCGCCGATCTCCGCGAACATTTCGAGGCACTTCTTGGCGAGGTTATTCTTGTTCGCGTGCAGGATCTTGTTCTGCTGCAGCGTCTCACTGGAAATGTTTAGCGGCAGGTCCTCATAGTCAACTACCCCCTTCACGGAGTTGAGCTTCTCTGGCATCAGCTCGTCGGAGTCGTCCATGATTAAGACTCGTTGCACGTACAGTTTGATGTCGTTGCGCTGCTTCTTCGTTTCGAACAGGTCGAACTCCCAGATGTACTGCGCCTCGTCGTTGTTCTTGCTGAGCACGCGCACTTTGTCCGATACGAGGTACTCGGAGTCGAAACCGACTCCGAAGTGCCAGATCATGGAGATGATCGCATGCCTCATCTCTGTGTCCTTCTGCCTCCCCCCGCTGTCCGTGTGCTTCATCGCCTCCAGGCCGCCCTCGGCCCGAGAAGTGCCATGACTGCCGTGAGCCAGGACCAGTGAGAGGTGAAGGTGCCGTTGCTGCCTGATACTCGCTTGGGCCCAGATGGCAGCTGGAGGAGGAGGAGGAGGAGGAGGAGGAGGAGGAGGAGGCCCTCCAGGGAGGAGAAACCACCCCGACCCCGACCATTCTGGCATTCACTGAACGGCCCTGGGCGTTTACGAAGCTGCCCCGCCCCGCTCGATTCCTCCCGTGGGTGCGTTTGCGAAGTGGCTTCGCTTGTCGGGGTGCTTATTGTGAGGGTGGATTTTCTGCTCTCTATTTCCCGCGCTCGGTCATGAGCGGCGCACATGTCCGTGTCCACGCCCTCGCGGTCTGCATTCTGGGGCGCGATCCTGCGGATACGCGGTCGCACGGATACGTTCCGACCTGCATCCGCGTTTTTCCCCATTCGCGGGGTCGCGGCCCAGGGGACCACCCCATGAGGCCGCGGATACGGATATGGCCTTCGCCCATGACTCGGCCCCGTCCCTCTTCTCTCGGCTATCCGAGAATGGAAAGATACCCAGACCGCTACCTTGCCTCGTTGTCGCCCTTTTGGGGGGCCTCCTGGGAGGGCCTCGTAGTCACCGCTGGAGTCGCCTTGAAATTCTGGTCAGAACGCACCCCGGGAGAGGTCCGGGGAGTAGCCGCATCGGTACCTTTACACGTATTGCTTCGACCTCCTGGGGATCCAGGTCGGGGGGCTGAACTTCTTTCTTGACCGTCAGGCTGTCCACGGCGGTGGCGCCTGTGGCTTGATTGCAGGTCAGCAGACCCATCCGCTCGAGCCAGCCAGATCGGTACCGAGCACGCCCAGAGCGAAGCCATCGTCGAGCAAGAGAGCGGCTACAGTGGATACCCATGCCAAGAAACACCCTGCTTGCCTTCAGGGTGCCCTGGGTTTCTTGGGTTTCGATGGTTTTGCGATGGTAGGCGTGACGTTCCCACACCAAAAATTCGATGGACGCCCTGGGACCTCAGGGCTGAGTTTCTTGTGGAAGGTTTCTTGTGGATTGGCATCCGCTGTACACGTGAGAGTGGCATTTCGCCGGAGTGGCTTTAGAGTCGGGCCCAGTGAGGCCCCCCGACCGCTGCATGCAGTGCGACAGCAGCGGTTTGCCCGCCTGGGGGTGTCTGCACAAGGCCCTCCCCGCAGGCCGCTCACCAAATATCACTCTTTCTTGAGTCGGGCACGTCCCTCTACAGGAGGAACCTTTAAGAATAGTGCAAAAGTAGTCTGGGGACGATGTTCCTAGTATTTTTGGCTATGTCGGAGCATTGTTTGATGTTGTTAAAGTTTTCCTTCCAAAATCCGCCTGTCGGAGGACGTGCCCGACCTAACTCTTGCCTAGAGCCACTCTTGCATGTAGCCGACTCCCGCCGCGGAGACATTTTTTTCTTTCTCTGGCGACGACGGGCATGACCCAGGGGTGGGGGAGGGGGGAGGGGGCCGGTCACGTCACGATTCGCGCCATCGCCGTCTGGGCATGCTGTAATATGGAACATTCCCAGACGGCGCCAGCGCGAATCTTGGCGCGACCAGGGGCGGGGAGGTGGGGAGGTCGCGAGGCCAGTCACGGGCGCTATCTCACGAATCATGAACAGGTTGCTCCTCCTTCTCCTCCTCCTCCTCCTCCTCCTCCTCCTCCTCCTCCTCCTCCTCCTCCTCCTCCTCCTCCTCCTCCTCCTCCTCCTCCTCCTCCTCCTCGCTCCTCCTCCTCCTCCTCCTCCTCCTCCTCCTCCTCCTCCTTCTCCTCCTCCTCCTTTCGAGCCCCGAGCTTTCGAGGCGAGTCCTAAGCTTGTTCGCCCGCTTCGGGCTCGCGGGGCCTTCGACGGGCCCCGGGACCGGAAGCAGAACTGTTCGGGATGGAGAGTTCGGGTCCTGGGGGCAGGCGCCCGGAGGGGGGGCACCTGGCTCGTCCTGGACCTCTCTGCGCTCGTCCCGTCCTCCGCTGCGCGATGCCAGGGCCTTCCGTTGCGCGCTGATGCAGCCAAGTGTTAGAGTGGAGCGCCCACTATGGCAAGAACGATGCTGGCGCTGAAGGTGCGCGTATCGCATCGTATCGCCCCGTCCTCTCCGCACGGTTCTTCAGAGGCTTGCGCTGCGCACAGGCAGCCCCTCACAGGTAGTCCTGGCTGGCCTCAACAGGCCCCCGAGAAGTCGGGGGCGGTCTCCACCCCCTGAGGTGTTGAAGACGCCCAGGACTCACTACTCGGGGAGCCTGTTGAGGCCAGCCTGTGGGGGATGTCTGCGCGCAGCCCGAAGCCTGACCAGATCGATCCGATTCGGTATCGGTATCGGCCAGCTTGATCCGAGTCGATCCCGATGTTCCGTCTACGGCCTCATGCTTTGCATGGCGTTGTTGTGTATCCTGACACGGCCGACCCGATTCGATTCCGACTTCGTGCCGACGCGCCGGTGCGACCCGATCCGACGCACATTCCGGTTCGATCCGCTTTCCCGATTCGATGTTGGTTGGCCCTTCCCTCCTCGTGCCACATGGTAAGAGTGGCCCTTCGCCAGAGTCACCTCTAGTGTCATGGCATCCGGCACCCATCGGCCGAAAAGGTGGGTGACCGAGAACAACTCGGTGACCGAACTGTGACCGGCATTGAGAATCGCCCTGGGTTCGAACCGAACATTTCGGTCACACTCGGGCGCTTGTCGGGTGCCAGTTTCGGGCACACAATCTAACCAGCCTCGAACGTATCCCTATCCCTAAGATGGGCGAGCAAAAAGCGAGGACAAGCTTAGGGATAGGCCCTCAAAAACTGAGGGAATCCTTAAGATCGGCATCGAGGTGAGGTGAAGTCAAACATAGGGATAGGGATCTGTTCCAGGCTGGTAGCAATCGGGCAGATCTTCGGGCACGGTTTCGGGCACGACGCCCCCCTGACCGAGGCGAGGCTTCGTGGCTGGGTCGGGCCCACCGGGGCCCCCCAGGGCAGTACTTCCAGTACATATCCGTCGGGGACAACAACTACCACAATCTTCACCCCTCCGGGGGTGATGGTCCCTCGGGATTTGCCTAGGCATCTGCATGGGTTTGTGCAGCGCGCGTGCAGCGCGCTCGCCGAGTGCAGTGCCATAGCAGCGCGGCGTGCGAGCCCGGGCCTGGTCCCCGCGGCGCGCGCTTCCCGAAGGCGGCGCACCAGACGGTGTCGTGCTTGTCTCGAGGATCCCACGGCGAGCGCCGAGCCAGCAAACGCGTTGGACAATGTCCGAGAAGAATGCCGACCCGGTCTTGTTTCGCACTGCGCGCAAAGTCCAGACCGACGGCGCGCACAGGATTGCAGGCGGCTCGGACCAGTAGCATCGAGAGCTGCGAGAGGAACGCTAGTTCTCCCGCTTCGGAGCAGGACGCTTTGCGTGCAGTCGGATGCCTCCTCCCTCTAGTCGGCGGCGAGCGAGGTTTCGGTTTCGAGGTTCGAGGTTGTGGGGCGTTTTCGTCGGTTCTCGGCAGTTTTTCCAGCCTCGGGATGCTTGCCAGCAGCTACGCCTCGCCGAGGGCGTTCTGGGGGTGCCAGGATCGTCCCGAACGGCCGCCGGAGACCCGAGGCATGACCCAACAAACCACGGCGGCGCGCCCGGGGGGAAGTGAGAAGGAGAAGGCCTTCCGAGAAGGCCGCGGGGCTTCTCAAGAGCCCTCCGGCCTTCTGGGAAGTTTGTTGCGCCATCGGGGAAGGCTCGAGAAGCTTCGCAGACAGCCAGGGAGACCAGGGGACTTCTGAACCCTCCCGAGAAGGCCCGCCCCCTCTCACCTTCCCCCCGGGGCTGCCCGCCGCTCCAGGGGCGCAGTGCGCGGAGTGACCCGGGGAGGGCGAAGGGAAAACGCGGGCTTCACGGCGCGGACATTCGCGCGCACGTTCTCCGCGAGAGGTCGCGCGTAAGCGCCCTCTTCTCGACGCGGTGTGCCACACAACACCCTGGCGGCCCGCGCGAGCCACGGCCTAATTAACGTCGCTGTGCCTTCTCGCGTGAGAGCCGCCTGTTTTTCGCGTCGCGCAGGTGGGGGCATGGAGCGAGCCCAGCTCGAGGCCGACGTTTCCCGCCTCCCAGGGGCCGTCTGGGCACCCCACCTCCTACGCCCCCCCTCCCTCTCGGTCCAGGCTCCTCTGGCGCTCCCGGCGGTCCTCGAGCCTCGAGGGTCTCGAGGTGTTCGCACGTGCATGGGGCGCTCCGGAGCGGGCCTCGCCGTCGAGGATCCACGGAGTGGGCAGCTCTTCTTCGGCGGAGGGCGGCGGAAGCCAAGCGAGGGCGCATCCGCTGGGGACTCCGTAGAAGACGGCACGCATTCCCAGGCTGGCCAATCCTCGTTTCCGTGGCCGTCCCATCGTCCTCCCTTTGCGCTCCCAGCGATCGTCGAACCGATGTTCTCGGTGGAGGTTTCTTTTCCGCGCGCCCACCACCACCACCGCCCGCCGTTGGAAACGCCTATGCGGCCAAACGTTGGGACAATGTCTGGGCAAGCTATTGAGCCGTGTGTTCCCTCAGCCATGATGGCCACCCCTGGTGGAACACTTGGGGGAGGAAGTGAGAGGAGGAAGAGGGGGAGGAGGAGAAGAAGTGGAGCAAGAGCAGCCCCAGGATGCGTCGACCACGCTGCAGCGCACCCTCCCGTCCCAAGCTGCCTCGCCATGAGTTCCTGCATGCGTTCTTGTTTCCCCACGGCGGGAAGCACCCTCTTGAACGACGAGCTCCCGGCGGGCCTCCTCCTCCTCCTCCTCCTCCCTCCTCCCTCCTCCCTCCTCCCGAGGGTTCGCCTTCCCATCCGTCCAGCCGCAAGAAGCGCAACAAGGCAGGACGGTAGAATGCTCAGCCAAGTGTCCAGCGATGGGTCCGCTGTGGAAAAGCATCTGCCCTCCATCGTGCAGTTGTTTGGCAGTGTCCAAGATCTGGTTATAAGCTTAGCGGAACTCTGAGGCGAAGGCCCCGTTTCGACAAGGAACCGCCCTCCAGCCATGTAGGTGTTGCGCACCTTGAAATTCCGAGTCGTAAACTTGGGGGAATTCTAAGGCGAACGCCGCCCGGTGAAACTGTGCTGGCCTCCATTATTGCTTATGTGGCAAATGTTGAAACGAGCGCGCGCATCACCATCAACGGGGAGCCGCATTTCGAAAACGTAGTGGCCTGCGTCAGTAGAATTTGTGGATATTCGAAACGCATGTGCGCGGCGTATTCTAGAGCATCGAAGGTGAGAGCCGCATTCTGAAATCCGCCAGCCGTGCATATTCGCGATATGTTGGACTTGCTGCTGACATATGGATCGCCAGTTGCAAGGATATATCATGCGAAACGGCAGGGCCGGCCTAGGGTCACGACTGGTGGTGTGACAGAGGGGATTTCTCATGAAGGGGGAGGAGGACGACAGGGAGGAAAGGGAGGATAATGAGGACGAAAAGGAGGACGAGGAGGATGACGAGGAGGAGGCCTCTTGAGGGCCGCACCCATGAGTTGACATCCCATGCTCTTGCGAACAACCCACCCACCCACCCGCAACTTGGATTCCAAGACCCATGAGGTGGCGATTTCGATGCATGCTTGGCGTTGGCTGGTGCATCTCTGCGGCCGCGCCAATCTTAGCACGCGCGCGCAGCGGCCAGCTAGTTTGACGCCACCGTCGCGGCCTCGGTGGCGCTGACCGCTGGGCGCAACCCAGCGGGCACTTCACTGCGACTCGGCGACTTGGGCGGACGTGGTATCATGGCAACGCCGAATACGGTAGACGCGATGATGATAGTGGCGATGTCGGTGACGATGTTCGCACCGACGAAGGCGCGGCCAGTGCGGGCGCCGATGTTGATCACGCCGACGACGATGACGGCGTCTTCGCGTCGGTGATGATGGTTTTGGAAAAGGGTTCGGCATGCGCGCGCGGCCGACGCGTGAGAGTGGCCCGCGTGGTTTTCTCAGACACGTGTCGTGCCCCACCAGCACGCGCGCAAGGGCGTGCGAATGATGTCGTCATGCGGCGCCAGATGCCCGCTTGGCAGAACTCCATGAAGCTTGTGAACAACGTATGGTTTTCTTCAGAATTCGCAACAACGCGCGCGCAAGTTTTTTTTTTTGCTATCTTCTGTTGCGAAACCTTGTGTGGTTTGAATGTTTTTTTTGGACACTCGATTATGAGATCCTTTCGGAGCCGACGGTTGTTTGAAGGATTTCGGCATGCGCGCGCGGCGACGCGCGCGGGTGCATTTCGTCCCGTTGTTGCAAGGAGTTCTTGGAAACGGATGATGTTTGATAAACGAGTGTGCGCGCATATATTGTTTTGCTGAGGATGGCTGGGGGGTCGAACCCGTCTGGACTGGGATGGTACGGGCTCATACTTAGGATGCACGATGGGGCAGAATCATATGTGAACTGCAATACGAAAAGTTGGACCGATAAAGCAAGGGGGGGATGATCATTCTTTTTTGGGAAGGAGAATCCAGGTGGTGCAATCCATGCGGTGCAGTCCATGTGGTGCAATCTAGGTGGTGCCAACCAATGCACATCATTGCAAGCCAACGCATGGCTTCGGATGTTCCAACCAATTTTAACCTTGACCACCGGGATGCGGTCCTTAACTACGATGGGGCCAGCGTGCTACAAGGCCATTTGGCGCCATGCAGAACAAGGCAAGTCGATGCACAGCAATGTCATGCGATGCAGAGCAATGCGCAGCAAAGCAAAGCAAGGCAATCGTGCAAAGCAGTACGAAGCTTGCGATGCGAAGGGGTGTGAGGGTTCAACGGGGGATGGAGTGCAACGGACGTGGTGGCGGCGACGGACTGGAATGGGGCCGCTGGGCCACCAGACGGGCAAACATTGGGCGGCGACGGGCGTGAACGGGGCCGCCAGAGGGCCCAGTTCCGTACAAGTGAAATCACAAACCCCGGGCCTTCCTAAAAGGGCCTCTTGGAGCTCTCTTTGGCATCTTGGGGGCCTCTTGGGTTGTCTTCTGGCCATCTGGGGCTCTGTCGGAATCATCTTGAGTCGCTTGTGCGGAAGATGCGGACCGAAACGTTTTTCCACGGTCGTCCTTCTTCATTACGCGTTCTGCGTCCCAGCAGGAGAAGGAGAAGAAAGGGAGGATGCGGGATGTTGCTGCGGATGCTGGCCAGGTGGTTGTCCAAAGCCCTAGTCCTTGTCGGCAAGAAGGCTGTGAAGGCCGCGTGGTGAAGAGAGGGAGGGAGAGAGAGAGAGAGAGAGATGTAGGTTGAGAGAGAGAGAGCACGCCATGAGTATGGCACGTTTATGAAGCTGTGGGGAGGCGGAGGCAGAGATTGGTAATGATGTTGGAAGTCGACGTGGGCCAAACGCATCCGCGGGTGGGTGGGGAGAGAGAGAGAGAGAGGGGTCGACCTGTGCGTGCATCTACAGACTTTCCGTCGACGCCAGCATGTGTATTGTTGGAGGTCTCGGGGGGAACGATCCGCTCTTGGGCGTACTCCGCCTGCTCCGTCGGCCGAGCTTGGGCGCGCAGACTCCCGGAAGAACTCAACCACATTTCAGGGCAGGGGGAACTCGCTGACGGATGGGGGGGCCAGACGAAAGTGGGGGATTGGGAAAGGGGGGGGGTACGAAATCTGCTGCATGCAGCTAGTTTCGGCCCCACCGAGGGGCCCATTCCTCGATACATACTCCAGATTTCGTAATAAAGGGAGGGGGGTCTTATTTCTGGGGGGGGGGGCTCTTCCAGGCCATCTTGGAGGGCCTGGGGGGTCTGGGGACGATGTTTTGGAGGGTTCTCCCACGGGGGAGGTCTGAAATGGCTTGTCTTGGAGGGTCCAGACGCCCTCCCTTTTATTACGAAATCTGGAGTAGTCGCCTCCGGCGCTGGGAGGCGCCAGGAAAACCAGCTGCGAGAGTTGATTCTCAAGCCCCCCCTTTGTTAACCCCAGGAAGCATTTAAGAACCCCCCCCCTCCCTCCGGCAAATCGATAACCCTTCCGCACCCTGGAAGCGTTACCTGGTACCAGGAGCCCTCCTCCTTGGGTCCGGGTGCTACAGCTATCGTTCGGTTATTTCGGCCCTTCGGAATATCGAATAAAAAATGCGGTGCTACGATATCGCCGGGGGGTTTCTTAAATGCTTCCTGGGGCTATGCCCCTCATTTCGCCCGACCCGAGATGTGGGGGGCGACGGGGGGGATCGCCAAGGAAGTGGGAGGGGCGAAGGGCCCGAGAGAAGGGAACGACCTGCCTCCTCCTACCTCCTCCCTCCCCCCTCCTCCCTCCTCCTCCTCCCTCCTCCCTCCTCCCTCCTCCTCCTCCTCCTCCTCCTCCTCCTCCTCCTCCTCCTCCTCCTCCTCCTCCTCCCCGCGTCCCCTCCTCCGTCCTGCCCCTCACGTCCTTGTCCTTGTGGATTCCTACTGCCGGGACCTCAGGCCACTTGGTGGGTTGAGAAGGGGATGCGAAGCGATGGGGATCTGATTGCCGATGCCTCGGCGAAGGCGGGCGAGAGGAGGGTATTGCCTTCTCGCTCGTGAGCTCAGGCGCAGCTGGTCTACGACATCGTTGCACATAGGCGCCGTCTGCCCTTGCCTGCCATCTCTACCGCATCGCTTCTACGGGGATCTGGGATGGAGGCGTGAAGAGACGGAAATCGAGGAGGCTCAGTAGGCCAATCGTTTGGCTGTTCTCTCTCTGGCCCTGCAGCACCCTGGCGCAACGATTGGCAATCATCGGGGGAAAAACCTCCCTCGCTTTTGACCACCCTCGCTTCCAAGAGATACCAAACTGTGCCAAATTGCGGCCTGTACTGGTCAGGCCGCTTGACGAGGAGGCGCGTGGTATGGCTTGGTTTTGCCTGGATGCGAAAGCGGGGGAGGTAATTCACGCTCTGAAATCAGGCAGGGGGGGCTCGAGCAACAGAGAGAGTTCGTGGCCGTGCAGCGCACGGCGGGGCGCCAAGTTACAAACACAGAAGTGCCTTGTTACATATCAGCCGCTACCACACTTCAAGTGTTGCTTCAGCTTGGAGCTGCCCCGTCCGAGCTTCAGCTCAGGATTCTGGGCCTCCCGTGTGAGGCGGGAGAGTTTTTCGGGGAGGCTCAGGGAGGGTCATGGGCCCAGTGCACCGTCGACGATGACCACAAACGCAGTTGCAGTTTTTTGTATTTGCATGTTGCGCTGCCGATTAATTGCGCACTACCGCTCTTAAAAAACACATGGCAGTAATATTGTAGAGGCCTCCGGCCGGTGCCGCCGATCCGGGACGATCCCACTGTCAGAAGGACGCTTTCGCCCCAGCGCGCTTGTTAAAACGCAAGTGGTTTGGAATCAGCTTAGAGGCAGTGCGTGGGCTTCTTGAGGAGCCTCTACGACGCATCTTCGAGGCCTCCTTGGGTGGCGCCTTGGAGGCGATTGTTGAGCCTCTTGGGGGCCTTTTGGGCTGTTTGGGGGCATGCATGAGGCATCTTGGAGGCCTCCTGGGGGCGTGTAGGAGGTAATTTTTAAGCCTTCGGGGGCGCCTTTTGGGGGCCTCTTGAGGGCCACTTGGAGCCTCTCGGGGTTTCTTGGGGACTCCGAGGGCCATTTTGGTGCCTCCTGGGCACCTCTTGGGCCGTTCTGGGGCCGTCATGGAGCATGGAGCCCTCTTAGGCGCTTCTTGGGCCCGTCCTGGGGCCCGCTTGGGCTGTCTTGGGGACTTCCTGGACCGTTTTGGGTCCTTCTTGGGCCGACTTGGGGCCCTCTTGAGAGCCTCTGGGCCTGTTTTGGGGGTCTCTTGGGCCGTGCTGGATACTGCCAAGGCCGAAGGAGCGAAAATGCAAAAAGGTACGCTTTCCCAACGGAATGGGACATGTTTTCGGTCTTTGGGCACTCTTAGAAGGTGTCGGAAGGGTACGTTGGAGGCTTCTGGGGTCGTCTGAGGAACATATTGAATGTCTTGGAGCGATGTTTCGGCCACTCAGGGCCCTCTTGGGCCGTCTGGGCGGCCGCTGGTTTTTTTTATGAGCCCGCGTTCGAGCTCTCCGGGACGAGGGGCCGACCCGGAGTGAGCTGGAGCTCCGACTTTGCCACCAAAATTGGCCCAGAACCTCCCCCCACCCCCCCTACCCCGGCAGAGCCCCCCCGGCCCCCCCCCCAGCAGAGCTGAATTTCAAGAACTGAGACTCAGGCTATATTTGAGGGTCTTTGAAACTCACACGCCGGATCGGCGTATCTAGACATAGATGTACAGTACATATCTATACACACATACAAGCATATGGGCTTCAGCTTAGGACTGCGGATTTCACGCGTGAGTCGGGAGAGGTTTGGTGATGTTCATGGAGGCGTGTTGCCAAGAGCGCCAATGACGATGACCAAACACGCAGTCATTCGTGCATGTGCTATGCTTCATCTGTGCGGCAGTTTTGTTGTCACTTAGCATGTTCATGCATGTTCTTCACACTCCTGTTTCAGCTTCAGTTTTGAATTCCGGGCTTCGAGGCTGAGTCGAGATAGATATGGGGAGGTTCATGGAGGGTGTGGTGCCAAGAGCGCCAAAGACGGTAACCATAATCACCGTTTGTTATCTATTGCAGTCTTGATTGCGTTTCAGTTTTTGTTGTTGTAGCAGTGCCATGTTTGTTCTCTTGGCGCCTGCGTTGGAGCGTAAGCTTGAGATTTTGGGCTTTGCGTCCGAGCCGGGAGAGGTTAGGAAAGGGTGAAGCATGTTGTGGTGCCCGGAGCGCCAACGAGGATGATCCGAATCCAATTCCCCAAACAGTGTTTGCACTTCGGGCTTTACAATCGTTCTCTGATTCATTGTTTTGCCGATCGGCGCGGGCCCTCCCCCCCTCCCCCCCACGTGGAGTAGGTCTTGGCTGGTTATGGCGCCTATTTCAGGCAGGTGGAGTCTTTTCCATAGGACGCACTGCTGCACTCAGTCGCGTGAAGCAGAGGTCCGGAGCCAGATCCCCCCTCTCCCTCCCCCCTTCCGCCCAACGCCGAAACGCCGAGTAAGAAGACGTTCACTTATTCCTCGTGTTGCCTGAGCGAATCGGATGAGTGCGCCGGGTCTTCGACTCGAGCCCGGTCGGTGGGCGCCCGTGGGCGCTTCACGGGCGCCTCATGTGTAAGGGTGGGTGTGCCGAGGCTTCGGTCGGGGCGCCCTCAGCCCTCCCTCCCTCTCTCTCTCTCGCGGCCGCCCTCGTCTTCGTCCCTCCCCCGTGCACGCCGGACCCTTTGCCCATCGGTTGCCCCGCTGAGCCCCGCGCTGGTGCGGACTGCCCCCGCCTCGCTGCCGACGAACACAGTCACGAGGCTTCGCCCGGGGCCCACCCGTGGGCGCCTCCTGAGCGCCTCGTGCGTTCTCGGTGGGCCGGCCGAAGTGCCGCCTGGTTCCCGCCCGTGGGCGCCTCGTCGGCACCTCGTGCGTCTGGGGCGGGCGTGCCGAGGCGTCGCCTGGCAGGGGCGCCCTCGATCCGCCGATTCGATGCAAGTCGATTCGCGCGCTGGGGCCGCGGTTCCGATTCGATTCCGATTCAACTCGATCCGATTCGGTTCACCAGCATCGGCCCCAGCCAACAGGAGCCGCGCGCGGCGATCCAATTTCGGATTCGGTTCGGGGCGATCCGCTGGCGATCCGATCCGTGTCCGGTCCGATCCGATGTCGCGATCCGGTCCAGGCGCAGACCTGCTCGGTGCTCGCCCGTGAGCCCTCGTGTGCGCCTCGTGGGCGCTTCGTGCGCAGGCCGAGGAGTCGTCGTGGTGGCCCGAAGAACATCTCGGCGTGAATTCCATGCTGCGTACAGTGGAAACCCCTGCCAAGAAACGCCCTGCTTGCCTCCAGGGTGCCCTGGGTTCCTTGGGTTTGTTTCGATGGCTTCGCGATGGAAAGCGTGACGTTCCCACACCAAAAATCAACAGACGTCTTGGGGTCTCAGGGTTGGGTTTCTTGTGGAAGGTTTCTTGTGGTCGGTTCCCTATAGTATCGGCGACGAGCAAGGGGGGGAAGTGAGAAGGAGACGTCCTTCTCGGAAGGCTCTGAAGTCCCCCGGCCTCCTGAGAAGTGTTCTAGGCCGTCCCCGAAGACACAGAAGACTTCTCAGAAGGCGCGATGGCTCCTCAGAAGTCCCGCCGCCTTCTGAGAAGGCTTTCTCCTTCTCTTTCCCCCCCCCCGCTCGCCGCCGAGCGCAGCATGACTTGGACGTTGATGCTCGAACCAACACCGCCATGATGCGCATGATGTAACTTTGGCAGCCTGCCCTGACAGGCTCGGCCCTCTGCATCCGTGTTTGCGAAGTCTGTAGCGCTTGAGACGCCGGAGGAAGTTCGTCGCGGGCGCGTCCGACAAGACGGGCGAGCGGATGAGGCCCCTTGCTTCGCTTCTTGGCGGCATCTGCTGGCGAGTCCCGTCTCTCCTCCCATGTGAGACTTGAGGAGTGAGGACGTGAAGCAGGTGAGAGCAAGCAACGGAAGTTTGAGGAAGATGAAGGTGACGATCGGGCGGGTGGTCATGGGGGCTGACCCACATGGGGGGTGAAGGAAAGGGCCCCTTTAGGGCCACTTTTTCATTCCCTAATTTGGGCCACCCCCCATTACCACCCGTTTGGGTAAGGAGGAGGAGGAGGAGGAGGAGGAGGAGGAGGAGGAGGAGGAGGAACATGGCAGCGTGAGGAGGGGAACGGTCAGGGATAATCGCAGGGGTCCGGTTCGAGCCAGGGAGTGAAGAAGAAGCGGGTTGGAGACAACGAGGTCGATCGGGTGGGCACGCGCCAGCAGCATGAGGAGCAAATTGCACCGCCAAAAAGCAAGTGCGACCATCCTCATTTCCTTCTTCCCCTGCTCCTGCCCCTCCTGATTTCCTCTTGAGCACGTCCATATCTTGCTTGAGGTTAGGCCTGCCATCCTGGCGCCCGCCCGAGTCTGCGATCTGCGACCATGCCGCCCGCGGTCTTGCTCTTATCGCAGGTGGATTCGATGGTGGCGGACACTATCTTGACTCGCCCGTGGGTGTGGGCGTGTCCAGGCTGATAGTGCTGAAGGCCGCTGCACACGTTGCCCGCCAGCTCTTCGCGATTGCTCTGCAGCTGCTCTGCCTAGTTCGGCTGGACTGCCGGCGCGGCCCCCAACGCAGCCGCACGCGAAGGGAGGCTTGCCTTCGGGGCGGCTCTTGCTGGCGGCACCGGCGGAGCAAGCTACCATGCTGCAGCGCATAACTCTCACCACGATCTGCTCGCGCAAGTCAGGTCAGGGCGCCCCCCCCCCCAAAGAAAAACACAAACACAGCTTGGCGTGAGCCGGTTGCACCGCTGGGCAGTCTGGCGCGAGCGCGCCGTGTGCGGAGGACCACCTTGGCCCTGTGCCCCGCGCCTCGTGGGCGCCCCCGCGGCGATCGATGAACAGGAGGAGGATGAAGAGAGGAGGAGGAGGAGGAGGAGGAGGAGGAGGAGGAGGAGGAGGAGGAGGAGGAGGGGGAGGAGGAGGGGGAGGTGGAAGATGAGGAGAGGTGTTTTGGCCGACGGGCGGGCGGAGGTGCAGCCACTTCCACATAATTACCCGTTTACCGTGCCGACCCAGCGCTGCCACGTCAGACTGCCCTTGTTTTGCTCTCTTCCCCTCTCCGCTCTTGTCACAAATACGGCTCGTCTACTGGCGACAGAGGAGCCTTGGCACAGGCGACGGCGTGCCAAGAGAACGATTGCTTGTCTAATCCTCCGTGTTTGAAAAGCAAAGCAATACACATATATATATATATGTATATATATATACACATATATATATATGTGTGTATACATATATATATATACATATATATATATATATATATATATTCGCATCATTCCATTCCCAGATTCAGTATGTCATCCGCAGGAAACGAATCATGGGTATGTTTTTGAGGGAAGCATATCAATCCTTGGCATGTGTATTGCAAGTGTGGCAAGTCTTACAGCCAGCGTCGACGGGACCGTTCTCAGAACAGCTCAGCGCGAGACCGCGCAGCCCAAGACCGTCAAACATCGCAGTAGCTTGCAAAGGTCCCGATTGCAGCCCAGGCTATTGCCGAGGCGCACACAGGCTGGGACAAATGGAGACCACCCATCTCGGAGGACCAATGTCCCGATTGCAAGAAGCGTGTCAAAGACAGGATGTTCACCTGACCAAACTTGCAGTTGCTGCCAAGTCAGCCGGCAAGTGCGCCAAACACAATGCAGCATCGCCGCCCCCGATGGCCTCCACGCCCGACGAGGTCGCCATGAGACAGTGAATTGCGGCAGCGATGGAAGTTCCAGGTGCGCTTCACCTACGCATATGTGGGGACAGATGCTGGACCAGTCCGCCGCGCCGATGCCGCAGGAGTGTCTGGGCCCGACCCAGATCGCAGCTCCAACGCAGAAGGCCAACGTCCACCTGCCAGGACCACCGCCGGCCACCGCGGACACCAAGGATAGCGTCTACGTCGCAGCCTCGGGGGAGGAGCCGAGGACGGGAGGAGTTGTTCGGCCAGCCGACGAAGGGCCCTCCCCACCTCACATGGATCTTTTGCAGGAACACCTCTAGGCGCTGACCTGGGGGATCGCGTGGGCGATGTCGTGAGTGATGGCCTTCACACGCCTGTCCGAACTTATTGTGGTCAGGAGCTGGGTTGTGCTCCTGAGATTTCATCTGGCGATGCAGGCTGGCCAGTTGCGTCGGGGTCCGCTCGGGGTCCATCGGGTGATTCTGACACTTCGAATTTGCAGTTGTGGGGCAAGCGTGCGAGAATTGCTGCGGCGGAGAACGCGCGCGTCAACGCGATTGACGCGCGCCTGGCACAAGGCGCGCGCAGTGCAGAGCGCGCGCGCGTGGCAAGGCCAACGCTCCGAGATCAATGTTACGAGGCCGGGCGGTGCAAGGTCGCCAGACTCAAGCCAGAGGTTTTTTCGAGCGAGGCAGCAGGGGCCAGCTCGCAATTTCTTCCAACGAATGCCAATTCGACCAGGGCAGGTGTGGTCATTGCGGCACATGGAGGGACTCCCGAGCCAGAGGCGGCAGTTGGCCGACCAAGCAACGGAGGAATACCAACAGAGGCCGCGCACGCAGGTCCTACTTAGACACCAGGGGGCGTTAGCGTCGACTTGCTTCAGGACCCTGGGAGCGGGGCCTGCCATCCATCGGCCGGAGAGACCCTGGGTGGTCGGCCTGTGGGCCATGATCTTCAGCATCAGGATCCAACTGATGTCGCAAAAACCTGCAGCGTGGCAGAATGTCCGTTCAGTGCGCTGCCTCCGCTACATGAGATGCTGAGGGCACAGGATCCTCAGGAGCCGGAGACCATGGGCATCCGGAAGATGGAGCTCGCTGGCCTTCTGGAGCCAGATGCCAAGCTCGGCCTCGTGCTTTGTCATGCCAGATGGGCGCAGCATGGGTAGTGGGTTGTTATAGCACAGGATGCGATGGGGTGTTTTTCTATGACCAGGGGTGTTTGAGATGGGAGATCGAGAGCACCAATGGCATGCTGCCTGGGCCGCAGGGCAGCATCAGCGCGATGCCAGAGACGCTGGCCATCATGTGGGCCCTGTTGTGGCATGGGGCAGTCCGGCGCAAGTGCATTATTCCATTGCCTCTGACTCCTCGATGGCCTTGGGGGCGGCCGCGGGGGGCAACGTTCCAGCAACAGATGCTCAGTTAGCGCAGGCCCCAGCTTGCGCCTGTAAGTGCGCTCGATCCAGGGTCCTGGCTGATTTGAAACAGATCGAAGCCCGCGCAGGCCATCCCTGGAACTGTCCTTCCGATGACAGAGCTCAGGCCACTGCCTTGAAGCGCATTCCTCCGCCCCCCCCCCCGCCCAGCGGGGCCGTGGCGCTGGCGGTCTGCGCAGGCCCCTCACGCCGCTGGGGGTGGCTATTGCTCCAGTCCCAAGATGCCGTTGCCTGCCCCGAGATGCGCATCTCTGCTACAGGCGGCAGCGCTTGCGCGCCGCAGATTGCCACCTCACTTCGGCAGCGACAGGGCGCCGAGGATATTCAGGTACAAGTGCAATTGGCAGTTGCCTCGCACAACCCGCCATCGGCGAGTGGGCGGCGCCGCGGGGGAGCCCGCGGGCGCGATCGCACTCGCGGGCTGCATGTGACGAGAGATCAGTTTCACGAGCTCGGGGCGGCCTTCGCGGGTTCGCAAGAGGGGCGCGACGAGCAGAACTTGCGAGGCGCGGCTGGGGCGATGCATCTGCGCTTCTCATCGGGCCACCTGGCCCGCAAGTTGGGCGCCGAACTCTGGGTCGACCTCCCTGCGAAGCGCGGCGTGGCCGAGGGGGGGCCCGGGTTTATTTTGAAGAAACAGTTCGCCGTCCTGCGCGCGGATCCGAGGGCGCTCATCATCGAGTCTGAAGCGCCAGGGCCACGCTGCAAGATCATGGTGGCACGCGCGCCGCATAGGGGGCGCCCCTCTGCGTGCGAGAGCCAATGTTTGGAAAGACCGAGGTGAGCTCACAGCCGAATGGCCTCCGGGGACCTGCCCCGCGGATTGCAGCGCCTCGGCCGGCTCCGCAGAGTCGAAATGCAACGCTGCCGCGGGGCTTGCAGGGGCGAGTGCAGCAGTGGACAGCCCATGCATGCATTTCCGCTGGGCCACGGGCTTGCCGCCGCCAGCGCCTTCGTCGCGACTGACGACGGCGGCGCTTTCAAGAACGAAAGCGGAGTGCCGACTCGCATAGATTACGTGATCCACCCATCAGCATGCTCGGTTTTGCCCAGGGTACTTTTGTCACGCACGGCGTCTTGGAATGGCCCCAGGAGGCCGCCGTTCAGAAAGGGCCCCCCCCGCCCCCTGGACCTGCACAAGTTGGGGGATCAGCAAGGCCTCCGCCATTTCAGCGCGCGCGCGCGAAGGATGCGCGCTTGGGCCGTGGGGTCGCAATGCGCAGGCCAGGCGCCGAGGGATTCAAAATGCCGCCCCCCCCAGATTTTTTCGCATGCTCAGAAGCTGAGGAGGGGCCTGAAGGGACCGAGCTTCCTTGTTCCCCGGGACAAAAATCACCGGGAACCCGCGCCCATCGCAGAACCGTGGCAATTGTTATTCGCCGCCGCGCAGGACTTCGCATGGTGGCGCACCCCACCAGAAGAGCTGTACCTTGCCATTGTTCGCTTCTGCAGTTGTACCAGGGGTGTTCTACGGACCACGATCAATGTTGAGTATGCTTCTATCCTTGACAGCCAAGGGGCTGACGTCGCGACGGCCATTGATGGCTCCATGACGCGCGAGGGGTGGCATCGAACTCGCGCGCTAAACCCGGGCGGTAAGAAGCCGAAGGAGGCGGCTTTTTTTCCGTCAGTGAAGGGCCCCTTTCACGTAACGTGCTGGAGTCTCCGCTGGAGGTTGCCCATGGCCTGC